TTAGGAGTAATAGTTAGGGTCAAGGATAATGTTAAAGAGATTAGAGTCATTAAAAAGAACTGTGTAGTTTGCACCAGGGCAATAGAAAAGATGGAAATCTTAGAAATCAAAGAAGACAACTTGTGACAGACTCAAGGCTGTAAATGTGTAAACACATTTAAAAGATTATTCCTGGAGACCTCCAGGGGCCAGAGGGAACACAATACCCTTCTTGCTCGGAGCTGTTTAAGTGAAAGTTGTTTTGCCAGGATTTGTTTAAACATACTGAGTCACATAGGCACCCAGAGACTGCCCCTGCCAGGTCAAAAAGAGGCATGGCCACTGTACATGCTGGCATTAGACTTTGGCATTGTTTACTTGGTGATGGCTTTGCCAGTTTGCAAACTTCAAGAGTCACAGGGGAATGATGCTTCCACTGAGGTTTCAGAGTAAAGCCCGGGATGCTGGGCAATCTGTGGGAACCACTGAGAGGTGATGAATGAAATGGCAAGTGAAGCCAGAGATTCAGTGGAGACTACAGGAACTTAGAGATACAAGGAACATGGAATATCTGTCCAGAAAAGCTTTCAGTGAGTGGCGCCATCCCAGGGAGAAGCTGTGTGAGCTACAAGTGTCAGTGCTTAGGGGTGGACTACCTAAGTACTTTGGGACTTACAGCAAACATGGAGAACACAGTATAAGCAGTATAGAGGATTTAGTGTTTGCCTTTGTTGGGTTTTATCTTATTTTATCACTTCTTTCCTTTATGAACCTGTTTTCTCTTTTATGGAATAATGATATCTACTCAGTGGCATCATCTCTGGAAGTATTTAATTTTCTTTTTATTTTACAGGAGCTCACTGTTAAGCAATTGCCTTCTATCTCAGTAGTGACATTAAAAATAAGCTTTTGAATAATGTTAAATCTGGTATGACCTTGACAACACTTGAAAATGGATTAAATACATATTTTTAGCCATACTGGCATTTAATGTCAAGGCATTGATTGAACTGTATCATCAGTGCTTTTGTGTTTATTTTAGGGTAGAGTTCCACATTTTCTCCCCAGGATGGCTACAGACCATGATCAACCTACCTATGTCTCTTGTAAAACTGGGAATACACAGTCATCACCAGACCTGGTTTATTTATTGAAAGGAGACCTTATTTTTTGGCTAGGTTTGTCTTGAACCATGATCCTTCTTATCCTTAACTCTGAGCAACTGGGATTACAGGTGTGTGTCAACATGTACAGTTCCAAGATGAAATACATTTTGGATAATGAAACTCACAATGAAGCTAGAAAATATTATGGTTTGAATATAAAATTCTGTCAACAGGCTCACGTGTTGAAGTCTTTAATCACAGCCCAGGGCACTATTTGGAAGCAGGTGGCATTATTTTGAAATTTAGTTGGTAAGCCCCAGCCGAATGAAGCTCTCTGAAGGAGTGCCTTTGAAGGCTCTTAATCCTATACTGTCTCCTATATGCTACAGGTTGAGAGCCTCCTTCTTCACATGCCCGCATCACCACAGTGTACATGACCCCAGGCTCAAGGTAAAAGAGCTATCCAACAGAGCTATCCAACATTCACTAAATCTCTGAATCAGTGAGCAAAAATAAATAACCCCTCCAATAAAGTTGTATTCTCAGGTGATTTGGTCACAAAAAATAGAAAGCTACCTAACACAGGGGACTTTAATAAAATAATTGAGGGTCATATTAATATCCAGCTTTCACCAGTACTCAAATTGTTTTCCCCATATAAAAATCTATTTGCCAGGCACTAGTGGCTCATGCCTGTAATCCTAGTTTATTGGAGAACCTAAGGATTGAGGATTGAGATTTTTAGCTAGCTCAGGAAAGGAAAGTCTGTGAGATACTTATCCACAATTAAGCACCAAAAAATCCAGAAGTAGAGCTCTGGCTCAAGTGGTAGAACATCAACCTTGAGGAAAAAACAAAAAAACAAAAAAAACTTCTCAGGGATAGCAGCTAGGCCCTGAGTTCAACCCCTCAGAACTGGCCTGCATATATGCACACGTGTGTGCACACACGTGTGCATGCACAAACACACACACACACAAATCCAATATTAAAGTAGCTGGTGGTGTGGCTGAAGTGGTGGTGGAGTGCTTGTCTAGCAAGTCTTAAGGCCAGTGTTTAAACCGCAATACCACAAAAAGTAAGAAAAAAAATAAAAATACGGGGTTAGGAGACATTTGTAGGATACACAATGTAAAAGTGGCAGAAAAAAAAATTGTTTTCATCAGCATACTGATTTTCTAAAGCAGACAATATGTTTCAACACAAAAAAATAACTACAACAAAAATTGAAATAAAATTCTTGCATATTATTAGATTATAATGGAATAAAACTAGAAATCATTGTAAATCACTGAAATTATACAAAGACATGATGATCAAATAGCACTTTTCCATAATAATAAAAAACTGGTGGAAAATTTAAGGTAGTTACTGAAGAAATCAGGTGAGAAATTCAAACAATTTCTAAAATAAAAATTTAAAAAGTAGACAGAAAACAAGAAGTTGTGGAACACAGCAAACATACTTCTAAGAGGGAAATTTTTAACTGTGAGTGACTACATAAAATAACTTACTGATGGATCTCAATAACTTAAATTAACAAGAGTAAATCAAAACCAAAACTAGTCAAAGGAAGATGTAGTAAAAATCAGATCATAAATAAATGAAATAGAGACTAAAATAATAATATATAAATGAATGACATAGCATTCATAAGTAAAACTTAACATTTAAGAAAAATGTGAAATGATCAAAATAAAATATTAGAAAAAAAGAGAATATATCATATATATTGATCAAGTTGGTTCCATTCCTGTGATGCAAAGGTAGTTCAACATAAGAAACATCAATGATTTTTTTTCTCTGTTTTGTTCTGTTCTGAATATTCACTTTTTGTTCAGGCAGTATTCACATTAATTTATGTTTCATGTGAGCTTTGGGTTTGTTTATATTAATTTCTTCTTCATTTTACTTATCAAAATATGAAAGTCTAATATTTTAAAATAGTGTATTTTACTCTTTCCTTGGCTAATATGACCAAATAATTTCAAAAGAATCATTGGCTACTATTAGCATATCATATTCAAGTAGGTTATAAATTTGAAAGCCAATGTATACATTAAATGGAAACATTTATGTTTACATTCTATTCTCTACAAATAAAAGGAAATGACAGTGCTCTTTTGTCATAAGAATATAATCATGTCATATGATTAACTACATCATTCCTTCTTGTATTGGCACTTCCATTTCTAGCATGTCTTTCATATTATGCCTATAATTATCTTTCTAAACCACATATGACCATGTCGTTCTCTTGACTTAAGTATATATTACAAGTCAAATCCATTTAGAAGGCATCATTAACAGTGTCTGCACAGTTACTTTCTTCTGCATTAACATGTGTTACTTCCTATTTAACTACTCATTTTATGGTCAATTTTACACTTTTTTTCTGATATATCCTAGATTCTTTTTTTAATTTTTATTTATTTTTTATTGTGAAAATACTGTACAGAGGGGTTACAATTACATGGGCAAGATAATGAGTACATTTCTTATCAAGCATTGTAGCCTCCGACTTGAACTATTATCTCTAATGCAAAAACTAATTTCCCATTCCTTTATGTGCCACTGGGGGAACCCGTGGGTTCCATGGGGTCTGGGTACAGGGGATTTAGGTGGTGTGCTTGGAAATTGCCTGATGCCAGCGGAAAACCACTGGCAGTGTGATTGATGACTGTTGACCATCTGCGGTAATTCTGTCAACATACAGGAAGAGTCTTTCTATGTACTTTTCTCACTGTTTCCTGGTATCAAGGATCTGTTACTGAAACTATTCATCTTACCAAGTTCTGATATCCTGTTATCTATCTCTTAGGATATGCCCTTTTGATCTGTTCCCTTAAGCTAGCCTCTGGACAATTTGACTCTATAAAATGGTGTTTGGGAGGGAAATCTTAGGTTTAATCATATCTCTTGGTTAAACTCATTCCTTGTCTCATGATAGTGTATTTAGTATTAAAGTATTAAATATGAGATATCATCTCATGGACATTTTTTCATCTGTCATCCTGATACCGGCTAGATGGATGTTGTCCACACTTAAGTAAATTCCCATAAGCAGACTTGAAAGTTGAGATAATGAGACAATAAATCAGCTTGAGTAAAAAATGGAACAGGTCTTATAGGTAGAATAGGAATGTGGGCTCTCCAGTATCATTCTTATGGACACACAGTCTATATGTGTAGCAGCCAGCTCCTTTGTATGTCTAGGGTTCTTCCTGTGGAATGAGCATATCTCCAAGATTGAAAAAAAGAATCTGAACCAAATTGTTCACAATGACAACTCTTTATATATTATGTTTAGATTGAAGTGTGTGTATATGTATTCTTGAGCCTCTGCTATATGGGATAAATATTGGGATAAAATATTGGGATAAAATTTTAAGCAAATCAGACATCAAGGAAAAGACACTATTATGAACATAAATTTGTAAACTCCAACTTCATGTACTGAAGTACTAATCTTCAATGTTATATTTGGGCATAGAACTATTAAAAGGATAAGGTTAAAGGGATTGTAAAAATGGGTCCCTAATCAAATGTGACTGGAGAATTTACAAATAATAAAATAGACAATATGCATGCTGGCCTAGGGGAATCCAGGAGAGGACACAGGAAGAAGATTGACATTTACAAGCAAAGAAAAGATTGCTTAGAAAAAACTAACCTTGACAGAATCCTGGTGCTTGACTTGCAACTTCCACAACTGTAGAAAAAATGTATTTCTGTGATTAACGGGCTGAGTTTGTAGTATTTTAGTAGAGTAGTTCTAGGAAGAAATCCATAATTCATAACAAGGAGTTTATTACATCAGGAGAAGTTCCTGATCCTGTAGTGATTAGACTTGTTAAAGGTTTAGGATATTCTCACACAGGATAATGGCAAGTGTCTAAAGTTTAAGAGAACAATAGATTTTGTAGTTTGCAAAGATTGGGGCTAAATCTATTAGGGTTTAAGAGAGGCTCAACAGAGATCATTTTAATCACCATTTTGAGATATGGTATGTTTTAGTGATGAAAAAATCAAATAGTGATTAATTTTTCAAGCCTAAGTAAAATAGAAGGAAAAGAGTAATAGGTCTTAAAATAATGTTAAAACAAACAAAATCTTACAGACTATATTATTTTTCTTTAATATTTTACATTACAGTTGTGATTAATATATTGGAGTAAATATATAAATGAACTTCTGTTCATCCTATTCAATTTTTGTAAAAGAAAATACTTGTAGCATATATATGTAAAGTAATATTACACAAAGTGAATTAATAAAATTACAGTGTTTGGCGAATAATAAATTGTCAATGAAGGTGGTAGGTTTTAAGTATGTTCATACTTCTTATCTGTTTTCCCTTCAATCTTCTTTGTTTGGCACCAGTGTTAAGTCCTTTTATTTGCACCTAATACTTTATAGAACTAATTGTATCATGGGTCAAAAGGTAATTTAGAGAAATTGATAATCAACTAAAACAAAGCTGTTTTTGAAATAAATATATAATTGAGGAAGTTTTATAATAAATATAAATTGTCATTAATTTAAAAATGATTATAATAAATAATAATCCATCATCCCTCTTAATGATGTTACTTTCTATCTGAAATGAAAATTGTCTGGAATACTAGAAAATCAGTCATAATAAAATAAATATAGTTTTAGTCTTCAAGAGCCATGTGACCCCTCAATTAAAAAATAAAACAAGTATTTCTTCCAAACAAATGAGTCATTTGGGAATGTCAAAATTGGTTTGTGAATGGCAATATGGCCAATAGACAAAGCATTTAGGAAATATGACCTAATCAGAATAGAAGAAATTATGCTATTGTCTGGCCACAACCCTTCTCTCCTTTCTCAGAGGAGACAGGATTAAATATCATTAGGAGCTCTTGATTGCATCTGGTTCTGCTTTCTGGGCAATAGCAAATTAGATCACCCATAAATTATTATAAATAAATCTTACCTCATGAATCAAATTAAAACATACAGATCAGGATAATTGTGTAACCTCTTGATTATAATTAGGGAAATAGAGCATAATTTTCATTGTTTTAAGGAATAATTATTTGCAAGTTTCATGTACACATTCTCAGGTCTAGGAAATATATCTTAGACTGCAGACTTTTCACAATTATAAAATTACTGAAACAGGTTGAATTTAATATTGTTTAAGCTTAATTTTAGTTTTTCAGTATCTTTTTGTTTCTGTTTTTGTTTTTTGGTCGGTCCTAGGGCTTGAACTCTGGGCCTGGGAGCTGTCCCTCAGCTCTTCAGCTCAAGGCGAGTGCTCTACCACTTGGTGCTATGGCGCCACTTCCAGTTTTCTGGTGGTTTATTGGAGATAGGAGTCTCACGGTCTTTCCTGCCCAGGCTGGCTTTGAACCGCGATCCTCAGATCTCAGCCTCCTGAGTAGCTAGGATTACAGGCATGAGCCACCAGCGCCTGGCTTAGTATCATTTCTTATAAATTGTATATATGTGTGAATATGTTTGCGCACATAAAACATCCATTTAGATGAGCAAGCCAGAAAAAAATTTGTACTAAGTTAAAATAAAACCATTTTATCTCTACCAAAATCACAAATCTCTCTCTCTCTATCTATGTATTCTAAATAATTCTATAAATATAGACTTGACCCACCCAAACACTGGTAATTTATCCCTGTGTTCACATCTATGTCTCACGGTTCTAATTTGTCTTTTGAGCTCCAAGAAAGAAAATGAGTTTTGTTGTCACTTACATTTTAGTCTTTTTTATAATGATAAAACAGAAAATACATGCCACATTCTTCATATCCAGTCACCATATATACACCAATTGAAAGATAGAAAATGTGTATAAGAATAAATATCCTCTGTTGGGAAGCACTGTGATGACCCATTACCTTGTAGCAATAAGCCTAAACATTCAATTCTGAGAATATCAAGTCCATCCAATTATTTTGGAAAGAGCCTTGGAGATTACATATTATTTCCATCTTTTTTTTTCTTTACAAGGGCTGAAATAGAATTCAAGAAAACAGATTCATTTTCCTTCACCCTTTCCTGACTAAAACTAGACATTCTGACTTAGACCTCTTGTCTTCAATTTTACTATAGTTGAAATTATTATTTAAAATAGATGTATTGATTTAAAATTAACTTGTAACCATATGAAATTTTGCTTATTTTACTTTATTTTTGTTTGTGGGGCTTGAACTCTAAGCCTCGGTGCTTTCCCTCAGCTCTTCAGCTCACGGCTAACATTATACCACTTGAGTCACAGCACCACTTCTGGCTTTTTCTGGTTATATGGTGCTGAGGAATCAAACCCAGGGCCTCATGCATGCAAGACAAGCACTCTACCACTGAACTACCTTTCCATCCTTTTGCTTTTACTTTTAACCAACAGGTCTTTCCATTTAATACATACATCTTTACAACTGATTAATAGTTGCAAAAAATTTTTTCTGATAGACAAATACAATTGATAGCAGTGATAGAAATGAAGTTGAAAAAACAAAACATAGATTAATAGAATCCTACCAACTTCAGTAATATCACAGAAATCAGGCCTGTATGTGTTGACATATAAACTGAGTGAGACTTTTGTGATTAAATTCATCGAACAGTAAAATATTTTTCTTATTTCCCTTATGAATTTTACTTACATGCAGTCCATACTGATAATGAATAAACTATAGGACATCACAACACAGAAAGATGAATGCTAGATTGAGCTTACTTGAAAAAAGTAAATTTCCTTGATATTTAGTGATCTGTGTACTTCTTAGTATGCTGAAACATGTTTTTGTCTTCTTAGGAGAAATATCTTTTTAGACTCTTTGTCATTTTTAATTGGAGTCATTTGATTTATATCATTGTATTATAAATATCTTTACAAATTTTGGATAGCAAACCATTAGCAGGCGTGTTTTGCCAAGAACTTTCCCTTTCCTTATGTGAGCATTTCAGTTTTGTTTATTTCCTTTGTAAAAAGCTTTTAGGATTGATGTCCTATTTATTTTTGATCTGTAGTCCAACCTTTTGGTATGACAGCTAAAACTCAATCAATCAAGGAAAGTATTTGTGATGTTGCTGTGACCAATATCAAGGATATCTTCCCCTTGATCCCTTCAAGAACTTTTATAGCTACACGCCTTACATTTATGCATTTCATGTCTTTTGACTTGATTATTTTGTATACTTGGAAGTGATTATTTTGTTTACTGTAAGGGACCACTTTTACTGTTGTGGAAGTAGCATTTTCTCAGCATCATTTGCTGAATAGACTACCTTTTTTCCATTGTGTCCTTTCACTCCTTGCTATTATGGTTGAAATTACCTCTACCTCTCTATATGCATTTAGAATTATTTCTAGACATTGTGCTCTGTTTCATTCCTCTGCATTTCAGTTTTATAATGTAACATAGTGTTTGTGTTGTAATACCATTTAAAGATATTTTAATTAAAAAACTGTGATGCCTTCAACTTCATCTTTCCCTTGGTATTTTTTGGCTGCTCCAAGTTTTTGGTGGTCCCATACAAATTTTTAAACTGATTTTTTTTCCTGTGGAAAATATCAGTGAAATTTTGACAGCTACTACATTAAATCTGCATATTATTTGGGAGCAGGATATATGTTTTAATGTTCTTAAATTTTCTGTTCCATGAGCATAGGATATAGTTCCATTTATTTTTATCATCTGTAATTTTTCATAAATATTTCAGTTTATTTTTATTTATCAATTTAAATTCATTCCTATGTTCTTTTGTATTGATGTTAGAAGGATCAATAATAATTAAAGAAAAACACATGAAAATTGTGATGCACATGTTAGGATGTATGGTCATAGTTAAAAAGAGACAACAAATTTTGACAAAGTTTTAGACAACAGATAATCCTTTACACTGTTGATGAGAACATAGATTGGTATAGACATTACGGAAAACAGATCAGAAATTAAAAGTACAAGGGCCATATGACTCTGAGATACTGAGTCTAGGTACTTATCAGCAGAAAACATAATGTCATCACCACATACAGATATCTGCACTGCCAAGTAGGGCTCATTTAATCAGTTTTTCATCTTAACAGTGGTTTCTTGAGGGAGATGGAAAAAGAAAAAAGAAAGCTAGGAAATTAGGAAGTTAGGAGGGAAGGAAGAAAAGAAGGAGGGAAATAAGGAAGGATTTTCAATAGTTCAAATATGGAAACAATTTAAGTGTATACAAACAGACAAATGGAAAAAATGTGTTCCACAAATATATAAAGTATATTAAAAGCAGAAAATTGTGATACATGCTAAAGCATGTATCAACCATTGGAAACAGGGTACAAATATTTGGTATTTTTATCAGCATCTGATAGAAATTTCAATCAGATGGTGATAGAAATTCAGGAATACACAAAGAAAATGATTGCATGATCTCACTTATGCATGGAATCTAGAAATATAAATGTTAATTTAAATATAAATTTGAAGAAGAAAAGTGGTTGCTTGGAGTTGATAGTATGATGGGGAAATAATGGGGAGATGAAATGCAAAACATGAGTTCTAGCTTGAAAAACAGTTGTTTTGAATAAGTTCTGAGCATTATATTCAGTTAATAGAATTTGATTGGCTCCAAGAGAAGTAATTTGATTAGCTATAATTCCAAAGGAGGAATGGTTCACTATTTTATCACGTCCCTATTAAAAGTTGGTTTGGACCTCATGAAAGTTATATACTTCCAAAAAAGAATGTTGTCTTCTTTTTTCTTGGTCCAACCTAACTTGAGAGGAGGGGAGGGGACTTCTTAGGAAACGGACTCATTACTTGGCTCATGTAACTATAACCCTTTTGTACGGTATCTTTACAATACAAAAATATATGTAAAGTAATATATCAAGCAATGTACTGGGAGAATTTACACTTCAATAATGACTTCAAGGTTGCAAAAAGATTTGAAAAGAACTGTAGATGCCAGGCTGAAATTAAGGGAGGAACTGAGTGGCAGTAGATTGAAGCCAAAACCTATTGATGTGCAAGTTATTACACACCACATGCAACGATATGCAGTTTGGTTTGGAGGATCGATGCTGGCTTCCACGCCTGAGTTCTACCAAGTATGCCACACCAAAAAGGATTATGAACCTAGGATTGGACCTAGCATTTGTAGTCACAATCCAGCGTTTGGAGTCATGTCCTAAAATTGACTTCCTAGTTATTTGGGGCTTGGGAAATGGAAAAGAGATAATCTTTCTGATTATTTGTTTTATTTGGATGGCTGGGTTTGAGGTTTTAAACCTGACTTGAATAGTAAGACCAAACATGATTATACAGGAATATTTAAATAAGTGTATCAACATGCAAATGTAGAAGAGAGCCAAAATCATTGTTTTTCTTTAGACTGAGTATTTGAATCTTATGTGTAACAAAAGCAGTGGGTTTTAGTTCTTTCTGTGCCCTGATATTTTGTATATTATTGAATTATCCAAGATTTGATGGGATTTATCAGTATGTAGATAGCTCTATAATGCTTGAATTGTACACTTCTAAGTGTGCAGTGCAAGAGTTTGTGTATATTTCATACTTTTTGTACTTTGAGGAAAAAATGTCAAAGAAAAATTAGTATCTGAGGTACAAAAAATGACCAAGTAAAGAATAAATTTTAAAAATAGCCTCATGAGACTTGGCATATGCACTCATGGAATTCCAGTTATTATGAATTGCTTCCATTTCCCTCTCCCTTACCCCAACAATGGTTTTCTTTGCAACTAAGAAGCTAGTATCTTAGATTAACTGATGCCTGCTAGTGCTTTCTGATTACTTACATTCTGTTTCTTGTTTTCAAAAAACAAGACAAGATGGTTGGACTTACAGCTCTAAGAAAAACAAGAACTACAAACAGTAATTTGATTACCAAAATTAGTATATTTAAAGCCTAACACCATTCTAATAAAGACACAAATTTCTTTTTAATACTTGTTTCAGGCTTGTTAACCTCTTCATAAGTTCACTAATAAATCTATTTTCGTCAATCTTCTGCAATAGTTCTTTAAAATCACAACAATTAGTTAGCAAGCTGACTTTTTATGTGTGCTATACAAATAATTGTGAACTTTTAATATATTGAATGCTTTCATTTTGATAACTGGATCTCTATTTGATATTTTCATTTGTATAACACATTTGCAGTCTGATTTTGTTTTTTTAGTGCCTATCCCTGACATATCATGGAAAGTTAATTTTCTTGGCATTTAAAAATATCTGGATCATGACGAAAAAAATGATGAAAATAAATTAAAATTGAATTAAAAAAATAATGACTTCAAGGGGCTGGGAAGGTGACTCAGTGGTAGAGCACTTGCCTTGCATGCCTGAGGCCCTGGGTTCGATTCCTCAGCACCACATAAGCAAAAAGAAAAAATCCAGAAGTGGTGCTGTGGCTCAAGAGGTAGAGCGCTAGCCTTGAGCTGAAGAGCTGAGGAACAGCGCCCAGGCCCAGAGTTCAGGCCCCACAACCGGACAAAAAAAAAAAAAGAACCATTTCCAGAAATTGACTAATTAAAAAAAATAATGACTTCAAATTTTGTCAATTGTAAAAGTTCCAAGTAACAAATATATTAGAACATAGTTTTAGCAAAGAGTTGGTGTTATTTTTTTAAAAATCACAATTTTATTTAAACTGAAATGAGAATGGATCACCCACCATCAGCACAGGATGGACACGGAGATAAAGCTGAGTGATGGTCACTTTTATGTTTTTCTCACCTTGATCAGGCCTTACACATAGTCTGTGATCAATGGCCAATCTGGATTTTACTGTGAATATTATTACTTCAACTGAAATTCACATTCAAATCCATAGGTATTTTTTATCCCTTGGAATTTGAGTCAAGCTCATTAAATCAATTGAAGACCTTCAAAGAAAACAGAGGATGGTGCCCTGAGTTAGAATTCTGCCATAGGTGGCCCCTAAAACCAACATGATACAAACTTTCTTTCTGGGACTCCAGTCTTCAGTTTATCAACTTGCTCTGTAGTATTTGGATTCCTTTTCTCTTCAACCCTCTCTAACTCTCTCCCTCCACTTTATGCACTTACTGAAAAACAGAATAGAACTCAGTAAGAGATGTACCACATATATCCTAGTGGTAAAATGACAATGAAACTGAAAAATTCCTACTGCCTAATACTGTCATTATCATGTGTGGTTATGTTGAGGTTAACAAGCCTGTTACTGTTTCAGTTATCTAAGTTAAACATATATTCACATATAGTACATAATACCTGATAATGATAACAAACAGTGGTTCCTGGTTTATGTATTTACTATACTGCAATTTTATTGTTGCTTTAGAATATACTCTACTTATAAGAACTGTTTACTATAAAATAGCATGTCATGTTATGCCGGCAACAGACGTTGTGCCAACAAACAATAGCTTCATACATTTCATATTTACCTTGTTTTCAAGTGATATCATTTTCTCTTTTGCTTGTTTAATCTTGTTTTGTTCATTATTGTCTGGAGCATAAAAACCCACTGGTAATGTTGACACTCAGATGCCTGGTGGGATGACTTACTTGAAAATGGAATTAAAAGTGATTATGAACAGTAAGGGTAAAATAAATTGGTGATTGTTAGTGCTTGCCAGGCAAATTGATAAGTAAACCTCAGCTACCATCCTGAAGGAAAGAACAGAGCTACAAGGGTCAGGCTTCATTAAAACGTGAAAATATACATATCTATCTGTGATCTGGGCTGATAAAAACGCCACTATATACAAGCATGTCAATACTCTAATACTGCCGGTACACTGCAGAAGCAGTAATGATTATAAAGGATGCATCTCCTGTTGCAAAATGACTTCCTGAAAGGGCTATGCCAGCAAAATGGAGAAGTTAGATGTATTAATATCTTTATTATTGATCCCATCCATTCTTCTTTAATTGGTGGAAGAAGACACACAAAACAAGTATCCATAACCTTAAGGAATCCTAAGGTTATGTTTCTGAAAAGTGGTTCTGAGGAATCTCTAACAAAGAGTTGTTGGGAATGAAAGAGAAATGCATCGCAGAAGAGGAGACAAGAGAAGGAAATGAAACCTCAACTTTGAAAGTGAAGTGCTTGAACTTTGAGAACACGGATGCCCCCTTCCCCCAACAATATATTTGAGTTACTAGAATTTGTTTCAGTAGAAACATAATGAAACAACCCCCCAACAAAAAACAAACAAACAAAAACAACCAACCAGGCCATCATGGACATATTTCTGAAAATGGTGGCATCTCTTCAGGAAGACCCTCAGGCAAGATAGCCAGTTGGGACCCAAAAGAAAGCATTGAGATCCAAGAAAAAGGCTGCCTGTCATCATCTTGCAAGTCTACCATTGGAGGGGCTGTGGAGAAGGTAGCTAGTGACACAGTGAGCCTCACCCCGTGTAGTCCCCGCAAATGCATGCATTTATATCTTTAGTTTTCCACACAACATTTAACAGTATAACATTAAAATTGATAAAAATTTCAATAAGCTATAAATAGAATTTTTGTATCACTGCACAATGTTGTTTGTGTTTTAAGCTATAAATTATTACAAACGTCATAAAACTAAAAAAAGGACTTGAAAATTAAAAAGATAAAAAATATAGTAAGTTCTGCTTATTACTGGAAAAGAAAACTTATTTTATGTTTAGTATATACTAAATGTATAGTGTTAATAAAGTCCATAGAAGTGAATATTAAGTGATATTGACCAACTATTTACAAACTGGATAGTTAATAGCAACTTCCAGTCTTGTAAGCTCAGCTTATAAGTGACTCATACAGGGATATCATTTAAAAATACTTTAAACTGGTTTTCTGCCATTATTTCTATAGTTAGGTTTGTTTACACATACATATACTTACCTTTATTAAAGTGACAGTTGCCTATTGTAATGTGTTTGGTACAGTAACAGACTACAAAGCTTGCACCCTGAGAGCAGTATGCCACTCCAAGCAGCATAGGTGTGAAGTAGGTTTTTGTAGGTATGCTCTATAAAGTCCACAGAAAATAAAATAAAATTATCCTTACAATGTGTTTCCCTGAAAATAACTCCATCATCTCTCAGTGATGCATAGTGGTATATTGTTTTGTGTGCGCATAGGTTAACCTGAAGAAATTTTTCAGGACTGATTTCCAGAATGTGTATATAATATACAACATAAAATGTAACTGTCTGTGAACAACACAATGGATAAATTTATACTTTATAAGTTTTATTATGAAAGGATACATAGATACAATATGAAAAATAATAAATAATAGCTGTACAACAGTGTAGAGTAATAGTGGCATACAATATTCAGTAAAAGAAGTCAAGTACAAAAATCATATAAATATACTGAGACTGGGACTCAGCTCAGGTAGAGGAACTTCTCAGCATGAACAAAGCCCTGAGATATTTCCCTTCTACCTAGGATCAGTTTTTAAAGCTATGTTTTTAAACTCATATTTCATAAAACAATATTAGTAATAAATTCTTTCCTAATAAAGCATTTATAATTACTAGTGGGTTGAAGAGCTTTAATAAAACACACTAGGTATCTCCCCCCTTCTCTAACAAAACAAATTCACACACATACATACTTTTTGGCTTATTCTCATAATTGATGATTAATAGTTAAGATGATAAAATGCTGGTAATTAAATGAATTAAGGAATGCATTTTAGAATGACTTTGTGTTCACTCTCGTAGATAGCCCTCTTCAAGTGTGTAGCTCTCACAGTATAAAGAATACCAAAACTTAAATGATTTCTTGCTATTAAAAAGGCTCTTTCTTCATTTAGAAACACATCTATTTGAGAATGCTAAAGTAACAATGTTCTTTTCAAATTCATTAGTTTAAACTTTGTGTGACTGTAAGAACGTCTCCAAATCTATTTTATAATAATATTTGTAACTAAACTATGCATACCCAAAGTATAAACTCCAGCATTAGAGAAGGCAGAATAACTGCAGGTTGTAATTACACTTTTGCTTAATTAAGACTTCTACCGTACATGGAAAAAAATCATAAGATGTTTTGCTGCATTAGTCATTAAATTAATTGTATCTGTGCTAATGTGGGCTACTCAATTATGTAAAGACTAAATTGATTTTTAAAAAGAGCACCTTTATGTAGGCATAGAGATCAATTAAGGCATTCTTCTTTTGATTAAAAATCTGTTTCATTATTTTACTTGAAAAAAAGTTGATATATATGTATATATATATATTAATGTTGCCTATAAGGGACAGTTCTTAACTTCCAATGATCTGTTCCTCAACTTACAGGACATTCAGCAATGTAAGGAGAAATTCTGGTTATCTCAACTACTGCCATCTACTGGTGTTGCTGGCATTTGGTGAATGGAGGCTAGGAATTCTAAATGTTCTACAATGCACAAAGTGTCCCCCCCCCCCACCCCAATAATCACCTGGCCCCAATTGTGAACGTAGTAGGTTGAAAATCCCCCAAGAAATTTCCTGACCTTTATATATCTGATATTGACCAACCAAGCATCACTAATGGTCAGCTTTAGGCCAGACCTAAACCAGTTTGATTCAAATAGAGAATCAATTATCCACCAAATTAGACAGCTATTACTCATATGCCCTGTTTATAAGGGCATCTAACTGACTCCTTTAGGAATTACGAAGTGCTTTCATTAGCTCTTTCCATTAGGCTCTGGGTCTTGTCTTGCCTAAAATGTCTCAAAGTCTAAACAGGAAAAAAAAAAAAAAAAAGACACATGAAGCTGACTTCACCCATTTCCCCCAAAAAGGTGCACTTATGTCCTATTTTTCTATAATAACAATCTAATTTACACTATTAGATTTAAAAAATGTTAACTAAAGTAACTTTATAACATTACCCTTTTCAGCATCTTTGAGAGATTCAAAATGCAGGCCAGAAGGCATAAAAGAAAGGTGTATAAATCAACATAAAATAAGAGCATAACCAGCTATTACAATTAGCTTCTACCTTCCTTCTCAATGAACTCTATCCTGACTATTCTATAGATTCAAATATTTAAAAACAAAGCATATGGTTATGAAAAAAATAGTATCAAGTTTCTAAGGGTGTACCTCATTCCACCTTATCAACTTCAACACTTGAAAAGTTTAAAACAATGTTATTACCTTTCTGGATAATGAAAGGCTTTCTTTCTTTTTGTTGTTACTTTGTTCTGGCTTAAATCCCTTTCTTCCGTTATTATTATTTATTTTTTCATTCCTCTAAAGGAGACAAGAATTCTGGGATTTATATCTCTCCTCAGAACTCTAAGACCTCAAAAGCAAATATTGGAAACCCTGTAAAACAGTCTCAGATATATGCCTTTAGAAAGGTCAAAAAGAAAGAATGTCATAAAAAGCTTCATTTTTTTTTTTTTTGTGAGAGCACAGCAGAAACACACAGGCCCTCCCCACCCAACATCCTCACACTCTTTAAATAACAATGACCTACCTATAAATACTCTCTCAGCCCCTTCATCTCTAAACTAGGTTTGAATCATTGCTACCTACCTTGGTATGGGTGTTGTAAGTGTTGCGTGCATTTGAGTTAGTGAATAGAAGTTCAGATAGAAACCCGAATTAAGGAAAAGAAACTCTTTCCCTTTAAATAGAAGTGGTTCCAGTTTCCATTTACAAGCCTGAAGGGTTGTTGTACATATTAAAACTGCTGCAGAGCTCCATTCCTGGTCACCGAAGCTCCTCCTCCCCCTCCCCCCGCCCGTCCCATTTTCCCCTGTGGACACTGAAGATGTCAGATCTCTGGGAAACAGCAGTTAGGAAAAGGATGCGTTTGGTAGTCTATACTAGCAAATGCTTGGATCTTCGCCCCTGCATAAAATAACACTGAACTGAGTCACCGGCATGCCGGAAGAAAGCTGTGTTTCTCTTTCTCTCCCCAAGGATCTAGTTTATAATAACTGCATAGTTTTTCCTTTGCATATGACGTGCCAATTCTTCTAATCCCTCTTTTGCCCTAGATAATTTTAAAGCTTTATCCCATCCATGTGCCACGCGAGGATGAATTTAAAAAATGCAGTTAACAAGATGACAGTGTTATCTAGGTATTTGGCATCAGTATTAGCGGGAGTCTGTCATTTGACAATTATTTCCCTAGCACAGCAGACGGTAAAGAAAATGTTTTCATCCATCCGCAAATGACTAACATTTTATTGATGCTTCAAAACCACGGTGGAATACTACTGCACTTTCTATTTCCAAGCAGGTTTTGAGAATTAAGCTTGAATACTAATAATGTCAGTAACTCCTGCGGCAAGTCTCTTGGCTAATTGCTGAGTCTCAAAGTGTTAGTAGAGCAGGGACGTGTCGTTGGTTAGGGTCTCTTCCCTCAGTCCGTTGGGTGGTCACACCGGTGACGACAAGAACCCTTCTCTTCCCCCATATATCCTCTTGCAAGGCGATAAAAATCACTGAGTACCGGCACCACCGAGCAAAACGACTCCCTGCCTGCCTCGTAAAAAGCTCAGTCTGGGGAGGAAGCCGGATGCTGACCCCTGCAGAGATGATTGCTTTAGCGCGCTTTGCCAAAGGACCCTGCTAGCATTATGGAAAACTAGTTAGGATGTGCAAGCTTTGGCTTTATTTATTTTGTCCAAGGGGAGAAAAAAAGGAGGCGAGGATGAAGCGAAGATTATCCTCATCAAGCCCTGCTAAAGGCGGAGAGTGGAGGAAGAAAGTAATTGACAGAGGTAGCTTCTGTTTAATTGCCTGGTTCTCTCCTTCACTTCCCCGCTTGGCTTCCTAAACTCTTCACTGAACAAGATTGACTGGTGAAACTGTTACAGGCTTCTCTCATTGATTTGTAAATGGCCCAGCATAGCCAACGGATCTTAAGTCTAGAAATGAGTTCAAGAGGGTTAAAAAAAAATACTGGGGGATAGGAGATGGCTCCCTGCTCAACACCCCGTTCTGCCCTTGGCTAGGAGGGCAGCGTGCCACCGTCCTGGGATCCCTTAAGGGCTTGTGGTACCGGGAGCCAAGGTTGCTGCCTTGTGCGTCCAAAAAGGAAGCTTGTCCAATCCGGTTTGGGGGTGGATAATGTATGTTCCTGTGACTCCTTAAACCCGGTAACTGCACTGCCTTGATTCGGATGCTTCTGATCACTCCGCCCGATAGGCTCAAAGGGGTTAAACTGCCTCTTACATAACAGGGCTGCCTAGCTCTACACAATTAAAACACTTGATTGCAGTCTCCGACTCCGCATCCCAGCACCACCCGCCCCGTCCCTCCCAGCGCGCCTGCGTGCCGCGCGCACACAAACCCCGCGCGCACGCCCCGCGCGCGTGCTACACACTCCATCTCTCACACGCACGCTCCATATTGATCACACACGTTCACACACACACACACACAACTTAGTGTCGAAACGCACCGGGAAGAGGACAAGGCGTCCTCCAATCCATACTGACTGACCCCCCACCCCCCACCTACAGACAAGTCAGCCGCGGTACCCCCAACGCAGTGTACCCCTTCGTGCCCCATCCAGAACAGGGAACCCCGCCACCTTCTCTACCTAGTCCAAAAAGTGGGGGGTGCGAGGGAAGAACTAGTGGGCGTCCGGGTAACATGGTGACCACTGGGATTCAAAATTCCAAACGAGGCAAAAACAACAACAAAAATAAAATGAAAATACATACATCAATAAACTCACAGTCGCCGGCGTCATGATGGCGCCGACCACAACTTGGAGGACTTTAAAGTTAAGGTGCCTCGGGAGGTAAAACGCACCAGAGAGGGCACGGAAAGAGCCCCTGGACGTCTGCTCACCCCAGCCCTGACAGAGGACTTGGCTAGCAGAGCATCCTTCCCCGGGCTCTTACGACAGTGCAGGAAACCGGGTGCCTCTCTCCTGCTCCTCACTTGGCAAAAATTGTCATCTGTCTCTTCCTCCCTCCCCCCATTTTTCTTTCCTCCCCTCTCCCTCTTTTCAATCTTTTATTTTTATTTATTTATTTATTTGTAATTTCATCCCCCCCCCCCCCCCCGCCCATCCCGCCCTGCTGCATCCTCCATCCCCGGGCGGGGTTGCTAAGGAAACCGCCGCTTGGCAACGCGCGCGAGCTCGGGGGCCGGCGGCCGCCGCTGCTCCCCGCACAGCTTCAGCTTCTGCCGCCGCCGCTGCCGGGATCGCAGCCCCGCGCTCGCTCGCCGCCCCGCGCTCGCTCGCCGCCCCGCGCTCGCCCGCCGCCCCGCGCTCGCCCGCCGCCCCGCGCCTCCTCCCTCACTCGCCAGCGCGCTCGCCTCCTCGCTAGATGGTGTGCGAGCAGCCCGAGAATTAGCCACACTCCGGACGCGGCCAAAAGCAACCCAGAGGAGGTGTAGTGTGGTGCTAGGGGGTGGGAGGGGAGGGAGGGAGGGACCGCGAAGAGGAGGAGGAGGAGGAGGAGAAGGAGGAGGAGGAAGAGGAGGAGGAGAGGGAGAGAAAAAAAAAGGAACAACAAGAGAGAAACAACACCCAACAACTAAGGAGAGGGGATACGAAAGAAAGAAAAGAAACCCACCCACCCACTCCTAAAAAAAAAAAAAAACCACCCCTGTGGCGCGCCGCCTGGTTCCCGGGAAGACTTGCCAGCGCCAGGGGGTGGGGGCGCGAGCGGAAAGCTGCCGGAGAGTGAGCGGCCCTAGCAGGGATGGACATGATGCTCTTGGTGCAGGGTGCTTGTTGCTCGAACCAGTGGCTGGCGGCGGTGCTTCTCAGCCTGTGCTGCCTGCTCCCCTCCTGCCTCCCGGCTGGACAGAGCGTAGACTTCCCCTGGGCGGCCGTGGACAACATGATGGTCAGAAAAGGGGACACGGCGGTGCTTAGGTAGGAAGAACGGCGTGCATTTTCGTGTACTTGTCCTGTCTGTCTGTCTGTCTGTCTCTTGGTCTCTGTCAGTCCGTCTTTTCTACCCCCCCCCCTTTTTTTAAAGCCAGCAGGAATGCCGGTGGTGTTATCAAAAAAAAAAAAAAACACACAAAACAATCGTGTCTCCAGAAATCCAGGTGCTGATTTTTTTCCCCCCTTGAACCCCGACCTCTTTTAGGCTGGGGCAGGTAAAGGAGCTGAGCTGGTCCGGGGAAAGCACTTTTCCTGGGCAGCAAAGTAGCCCTAGGATGGGAGCCGTGTCAGGCTGGCGGGGCAGGTGCCACTTTGAAACTCAATTCACAAGGTCTCTGTGTTACGGTCGGGGGGGGGGGGTGCTCTGGCCGACTCGGACAAGTTTATCAGGTTTGTTTCTGTTTTACTCCAGCGACTCCCCCCCCTTTTTTTCTTCAAACTGCGGGCTCTCCATATGTTTTCTCTCTCACATGGACACTTAAGCTGTGTCTTGCTTTTCAGTTTGCTGGCTTTCCTTATCTCGTTTGCTTCTTTCTCTCTTCTTTCCCCTCCCTCTTGCTTTTTTTTCCTCCCGCTTTTATTTCCTTCACCTTCTTTTGCCTCTCCCTTGCCCCCCCTTTTCAAAGTCATTCTTTTTATTTTCTTCTCATTTTTTTTTCGTTTTCTTTGGTAAAAAAAAAAAAAAAAAATCCCTACCACTGAAATTTCGAACGCACTTGTTTAACTCCCTCTCCTCCTCCTTTGTCCCCCACCCACCCCGTCTTCACTCGGTGCCTGGTCTTCCCTTCCCCTTGCTCTTTCCCATCTGTGTCACACCCACAGGCACGTTCCCGCTGCTTTCCCCCTCCAGTGCCATTTCTCACCCTCATAAATCTTATTTTCATAAACTCCACTGCCGCTCACACTCTGTGAGGCTTCACAGACTGACACTCTGTGCTCCAACGTGCTCCAACGACCACTTTCCCATCCAGATCCTCTCAGTTTAAAAAGGCATACACTCCTCTGCTCCATACACTGTCACTCTCCTCCCTCCCTCCTTTCCTTTCTCCTTCCTTTCCTCCCTCCCTCTCTCCCTCCCTCTTTCCCTCTTTCTCCTACCTCTCCTTTCTGCTCTCACCCATGTCCTAACCTTCCTCTTTCTTTCTTCTCATCATTTTTCTCCCACCTCCTCCTGCTCCCTTCCTTTCCCTGTTTACCCTAAGCATGAACATTAAAGTGGTTTTTTTTTGTCATTAATGAATATCCTAGCCTAGTTTTACCCCTAAGCAACACTGCAAAGTGAGCTTGTAGAACCATTTCCTTCCATGTGAAAATTCAAATTGATGAACAGCAGTGCTTGGAACTAAGAAAGGCTAAACGCCTGATTCCTTCATTGCTCATGCCCCACCCACTCTGACACCCACACACACCTGACACACACCTCAAATCTTTCTGAAAGATCTTCTTTCTCTCCACTGGGTGGTAGTTCACTTTTGTGGTTTACACAAAATCATTGTGCACGTTTCAGGTGAAAAAAGCTGGGATATATTTCTACTTGAATCGTGGAACATTTTATACTTAATGATGTGGGTGTGGCATATGCCTTGTATCTCTCCAAGCATGCTTAAGTCAAAATTTACACCAAATGCTGTTATAATTTCTAATATATACTAAATATGTTTTAATGAAATGTTATCTTTGTTATGAATAAAACTGTACATGCTATAGTAAAATAAGTTTTCAGCATTGTTTGTAGTGACGAATACTTTGTCAAATACGTGATATAAATTAAGCCCACAATTGCTCATTATATTAACTTTCAGAAGTTTGTATAACAGTGGTAACAAGGTACTGCTTTTAGAGTCTGCAAACATATATCATGGAAGCTGCTATAAACATATATATGTATGTGTATATATATATATGTATATATATAAATATATATACATATATATATGTATGTATGTAGTGAGCAGTGCTATTCCTGACCTAAAAAGCTTTGATTGATTGTCTTTTGATGTTATTTGTTGGCACTTTGTTTACTAATGAACAATCTGATAAATAATATGCTTAATTAAAATAGCAGAACCATATATTGCCTCTAGGAGACCTGTGCTAAGTTCAGGCATTGCTTCTAACACTGAAGCTTGCTTAACTCATGGTGATAATATCTTAGAGTTGTTGGTTTGGTGCAGTTCTTGTTTACTTTCTGGGCACTGTATCTCCCCCATTATTTGCCATATGCTAGATTTTGTACTGTCTTATTTTAAGGAACTTGTGACATTTCAATGATCCTAAAGAGAACAGAATCCCCTCCTCTCAATGGTATTTCTAACAAATTAGATTTTAGTTTCTTAACAAACATGAATTTTTTTTATCTGTATTGCTTTTTACAAAGCAATGCATTTGTACTGGTTTTGTAATTCTATACAAAGTACCTAATTGGTGAACTTTTACTATTGCCTAGTTTAAAGGAAATAATTCAGCATATTTTTTGTAAGAAAACCTCTTTCCATTAAAAATGTTAAGTACTAGCAATTATTTCCCTTTACTTCCTTTGCTTCTGGTATTTGTTTTGTTTTGTTCACAGACTAATATAGCTAAAGATTAAGGGCTAATAGATTGTGACCGCTCATGTGATATATATTTTCAAGAGTAAAACCAGAGTTGTTTTCTGACATGTATACTTGATATCATATTTGGTATTGTTTTATAATTTATCAGATAATAAAACTATACTTTCATACCTACATTCCTTTCTATCAGTTATGAATCTAATGGTTCAGAGAACATTGAATAGCATATCATTCATCAAGTTTTATACAATATCCTCTGTTTTTGTTGTAACAGATTTCCTAAAGTGTCTAATAAAAAAGAAACAAAGGCCTAACAATTATCAAATAACTTTAAATGCTAAAGACTACAAGTATGAATATTTCAGTCAATAAACTATTGCTTATAGATACATTAATGAAACAGTTTAAAGGTCTGCCCATACTTTCCTATCTACTAAGTTTTGGAATGTCTGTTTTTAAGAAGTCATACATACACATACAATAAAACCAAAAAAAAAAAAAAAAACAAACTTTCCCTGTGTAGAGCTATAGCACGGAAAGTCTCCATTCTGATTTCTAGTACATTTACTGTCACTTTGTAAAAATCTCCTGTTTTACCTCATATAGAGGATTTATAGTAAAATCCATTTAATAATTTCAGTGGTTTTATCACTTTCACTCTGCCTTTTAAGGTTAATGCATGTTATTCAATCTTTCACTGCTGAAGGATTCCCACAAAACATTTGGATATTCTTTATAAACTGCCTAGTAATACATCTGTTCATCATAGTAATATTTAATACCACTATTACCTGAACTGAGGGATCAAGTAAATACATAAACATGTTAAATACATTGTAGACTTCCAGAAGTGTGATGGGTTCCACTAGCCTGTCTAAATACCAATTTTGAGTTTAACATCAGTCAATACATGAATAGTAAATTATTCCTTCAGAAATTCTCAATCTGTATATGGAAACATTAACTTATCCTTCCATCTTCAAGTTGCAATTTGTAATTCATTAAAGGTCTGAGTTACTATGTCCTAAGATGACATAACAGAGCCAGGGAATGCTAGAACCACACCGGTCTCTTAAGGAGCCAGGTCTTGTAGAGCAAGCATTGCTCTGGAACTAACTATTACAGAACCTTGATGTCAATAGCTATAGGTTCCAAGGAGATCACCATTGAATAAATCAAACAAATACTCGGGATGCTTATATTTCATCAAGTAAAATTACATATCACTATATACAGCAGGTATGAGTAGTCATGACCTGAAACCCAATGGGGTAGACTATATTACCATTCCAAAACAAAAAGCAAAAAAAAAAACAGTGTACCATGAATACTGCTTACCAGAAACCAGATCTTATTTTATAATTTTTATCTCAAATGCTGTAGAAGCCTAGTTTATTTTTCCCATAACAATGTCTGACTTCCACTCAAGGCAAGCTGTCGTTAAACAAATTGAAATTGTTCACTTTTATTACTTAATATAAAGCATGTTTGAATTAAGCCTTTTTTTTGTTTTGGGAGGGTTATCAATACTTTATCTTAGTCTTGGGGTATCATTTGTATTTTGGTAGATATGTTTTTACAAAATTAAAGATGGGCAAACGCAGAAGATCATACAACACAACTAAAGTTAATAAGGGACTGAATGAAATCTTTCCTATGTCAACTGAGTTGCATCATATTATGCAACTATTTACAAATTCTGCAGTGGAAACAGGAAACAGGCTGAATATTCTTTTTTTTCCCCACTGGTCATGGGGCGTGAACTCTGGGCATGGGAACTGTCCCTGAGCTCTTCAGCTCAAGACAAGCACTCTACCACTTGAACCACAGCACCACTTCTGGTTTTCTGGTGGTTTATTGAAGATAAAAGTCTCACCAACTTTCCTGCCTGGGCAGGCTTTGAACTGTGATCCTCAGAGCTCAGATTCCTGAGTAGCTAGGATTACAGGCATGAGCCACCAGTGCCTGGCCAAGTTGAATACTATTTGGAAACAACAATATGGGCATTCTTGTTCATAACCTACACATGTCTGAACATTTCTTTTTCCTTTCCTTTTTTTTTTTGTATGTGTTAGTCCTGAAGCTTGAACTCAGGGCATGGGCACTGTCCTCCATTTCTGGTAATTTTGGTGATTAATTGGAGACAATAGTCTCAAGGACTTTTCTTCTGAGTTTAGAACAACCATACCCATATCTCAGCATCCTGAGTAGCTAGTATTACAGGCCTGATTCACTGTCACCCAGCTGCACATTTCATTTTAGTGTCTCATTTTTTTAGACTGTCATTCAACCCTGTTTATACATTTTGTACATTTTTTGCCACCTTCTTGGTAAGAATTCAAAATACTCAATTATCTGCCTGTCATGCTTTAATCAATGAAAAAAAACATTTTTTTCTTAAATGTGTAACCTTCTTATACTTTATAAAAA